GTTGGGATTGCAGGGAAAACACCCATAGTTGTCTTTTTTATTGCCATCGGGGAAAGCTGTGTCATAAACCAGTTGGTCCCAATAACTCGAGTTGTTGGGAGAAGGTTATGTTGGATCTTATACAGGCCCATGTATGGTACTTAACCACTTCCTTACAAGCTGGAAAGCTTCAATTGCGCCTATAACTTCGTCCAACGTCATCATCGCATGGCGGAACTGGGGCGTTAGGTGGAGAGCTTCGAGATTTCTCCCTAGAAACATAGAATACCAGTCCAAACATATGCCTCCTCGTAGATCCGAGCTCTCCAAATCGACGAGTAAATCAAATCGAAAAAACCCTGCCGAAAAACCTGCCAGAGTAAATCAAATCGAAGAAATCGAACAAACCCACCTCGAACCCTAGAAGCATCACTGATAGCTAGAGGAAGAGCTTGGTGTAAGAGTGGAACCAGGTTCTGAGGGTGGGGTTCTCGTTGACATGTGACCCTCTATCGATGTTGTCGATGTCTGTGTCGGTGCGAACCGACCTGACCCAATGCTTGTTGGCGGAGACCATTGTTGAATCAATGATGGTCAAACAATCGGTTGCATTGTGGGTGTTGAGGAGGAGGAGGAACCATGTTAGTTGTTTGGCATTCTTGTTGTGAGATTTTTCTCGGAGCCGGGTGGGAGTCTCTTAGTTTAAGATGGACCTAAAGGCAATGGTGAGGGGTCTCAGAGAGGGCAACAGGGCGGGTTGGACAGACATGGGAAAGATGAAAGGCGGTTGATTTTGAAAGATATATTAGTTTTGAGGCTAATCTGGCCACGCCGGAGGAGGGATGAATTTATTAATGCGGGAGTGGATGAACGGAGAGGAACCGATGCTGGATTTCGACTTTGACTATAGCTTAGTTTGACCCTGTTATAGCTTTTGCAGAAGCAGCTTCTGGTTAGAGTTTTTAGATAAGTACTTTAAAAAAAAAGCAGTTGAGTGTTTGACTGTAAAACTATTAGAAGTGCTTTTTAATATAAGAGGTTGTGTAAAATGACTATAAAAGACTTATAATATAAAATATGAATAAAATTTTAAACAATAAAAAAGTAGTCAAAATGGATCTTGTTAGATTTTTTATATTAAATTATATGATTTTATAATTTATTTTATTTTTAAAATGATATAAATGAAGCAAAATTATATTTTCTAAAATAAAATTAAAATATGGTAAGGATAATCTTGTATTTTCAAAACAGTTTTTCATAGAAGCTCCAAATCAGAGCTTCTGCTTTTATGTTATACAAAAGCGCTTTTCGGTTTTCAAAAGCCAAACTTTTACAGGTGTTTGGTCATGCTTCAGCTTTTGAACCCGAAAAGCACTTCTAAAAGTCGGGCCAAACATAAGGTATGAGGATTAAAGATGCAGTGGCGACTGGCGATAGGGAAGGGGATGGAAGAAGGAATGTAAAACGACGATGGGAAAAGGAAGGTTCTCTTCTCATTGTTTTTAATTATTTTTTTTTCCAATTGATTACAATAAATTAAAAAAAGGTTAATAGCATTTTATGTCCCTTTACTATTACTAGTTAACAAATGTACCCCTCTATTATTATTTCGCACAAATATACTCTTCTATTATTGTAACGTAACAAATATAATCTTTCATCCCTCTTTCCGTCCCGTGACCGTTAAAATGCTTGTAAAATGACTGAATTGCCCCTTTATTGGGATTTATTATACAACCGATTTACATAGAAAGAGAAATAAATAAGTAAATTTAATTTACTAATTTCATTATCCTTCCTCCCCATCGGGGAATGTCGCTGTTGGTTCCGCCGTTGATCGCTTCGAGATAAAACCCAGATGGTGGAGCTAGTGGCGATGGGGATGGAGGGCTCCTCTTTGATTTTGGCGGTGCCGAGACGATGTCGCTTTATTTCTTCCGGGAAGGGAATAGGGAAGGAGTTGGTGGGAGCGAGTGAAGGGTCAATATATTTATTTTATTTTATTTTTCCTTCCGAAAAATGAATTATTCAATAATTGATAATAAAGGGCAATATGGTAATTTAGTAGCAGTTTAACGGTTATCTAACGAAAATAGGGATAGAAGGCTATATTTGTTACGTTACAATAGTAGAAGGGTACATTTGTACGAATTAATAGTAGATGAGTATATTTGTTAACTTGAAATAGTTGAGTGGCATAAAATACTTTTAACCCAATTAAAAATGAGACTTTTCCAACCGGGCAAAGTCATAGCCACATCATCAAAAGACGTTAGTCCAGTCAGGGGCGGACCCAGGGGGTTTTAGGGGTGTCCCCGGACACCCCTAAATTTTGAGAATACGATTATCCAACTCCGGGTGGTAATTTACGTATGGACAAAAAAAATATAATTGATAGTGAGGGACACCCCTGAAATTTGAAAACATGATTATCTTACTGTCATTTGTGTATAGGAATATAAGTGGTAGATTGGGTAATTCAAATCTAGAACACTATTCTAATTAATAAACTTAATTTTCGTTGACCTACAACTCATTTGTTGTTCGATTTTGAAAAATGTAATAGTAAAATGTAATTTCCTATCTCTAATTATTTTAAAAACCTAATAATTAAACTAATTTCAAACTACCCTTAATACGACAAGTGTTGAAAGAATATTTCAGCTTTGGGTTACATTGAGAACAAGTTTACAAATCGAATATGCGATAAATTCGTAAATGATTTTCTAGTAGGGTATATAGAGACAAATTTTTTTAACACTATAGACACCAAGTGTATTCTACAATTATTTCCGAATATGAAAACAAATCATGGACTTTTTTAACCTGTACGAGTAAGGTATGTTCAAATTTACGATTTTATTTTTATTAATTATTTTTATTTAATTTATTTTTAAAAGAGAACACCCCTATGGAAAATTTTGGGTCCGCCACTGAGTCCAGTCAACATGTATCATTTTGCGGTTAAAATTATGGACGAAATAACTATTTTAGTGTATTTTTTAAAAAATTGATTATTATCACAACACATAAATTATGACTATTTTTAAAAAATATATTAAACATGCTATACCGACAAATATTATATCCACAACAATTCAGCCGAGATGGATAGGATTGGTGGAGATAATAGTAACGCAAAATTGAGCAAATTGGGCGGGTGGTTGCATAATAATCATAAATGCAGATAATGAAATGGAACTAAAAGGTATGGGTTTGTTTTTCCCCCCTCCTTTTCGGGCAGTAAAGGGTAGGAAACGAACGCGGGCTGCTGGGAAAAGAGCAGGAAAGCACAAGATAAGAGCCCCAACCCAACAACGTCAATGGTCACAAAAGCATGAACAAAAACTTGCATTTCCCACGCTGTTGGGCTTTGACCGTCTGTGTCCGAGAAAATGGTAAATTATGAATAAGTCCTGTTTTCACTTTGATAACAAACTAGGTACTCAAATTTTTTTCTTCCGCATTTCAGTCCCATTCAATCGTTGTATGCTGGAAATTAGTCCACCTTTGTTTCATGGATGCATCCTTTAATATCTCCATCGTTATTATTTCCGATCCAACTTTTCTCGTGAAACTAATATGACAGGTTCCTATAAAAAAAGGAAATTAATATGACTAGACAAATGAGATTTTACATTTGGATAAGATCCATCCTCACCTTCGTCATATTTCTTTTGAGGTAGCAGATAGGGGTGTTCAAACGGTGTGCTTACCATGGTAACCATTTTAACCGATAGTATTTGGATAACGGTTTGGTTTGGTTAAATTTTTTAGCTTGTTTGGTTTAGGTGGTTTGGTTTGATTTCAAACACTCCTAACCTATCAAACCAAATTAACCAGTTAAGTAATTAGCCATATATCTCATAAATATTACATATACATACTCAATACTTTGCATAACCACTCAAGTGTCAAATGTTTCTCTCTCTCATGCTCATAAGAAATAAAGTTCAATATTGTTCCTATATTGTATATTTGTATTTGTAGAGTGTAGACCGCAACATATAAACTCATATTTTAGATAAAACTCATACAATATGTCGGATGAAAACTTGAAAGGAATGTCTATTTCAGGCTATGATAATTGCTAAGAGAATAAGTCAATTTTACAAAACATAATAATTCATTATCCTCATACTATTGGCGTATATTTTCGTTACGTGAATACTTCTATTGATAGTAAGATAATTATATTAAATTCATGTATTTATGATAAGAGTTAAGTATAACTATGTGTTGATAGGTATGTTTTATTCATTATATAACTTGCTAATTGATGCATTAATCGGAGATTTCCTCACTTAAGATAGTGTGTTATATTGGTTAATCTAGTTAACCAATTAACCAAACCGAATAAACTTTAGCTTGGTTAATTTGGTTGTTATATTAATTTGGACGGTTTGGTTATGATATTGTATTCCATGGTTAATAGAATTTAGACTGAATTGGTCATTTCCATAGTAACTATTTGAACACCCCTAGCCACTTGGATGGGTGGTTCAATTATTTCTCAATTATAAAATATAAATATCTACTAGAATATATTTTTCAATAGTCCACGGGTCCACCAACCAATTAAAATAAATATAAATTAATTGGATTGGAATAATGTTTTTTAAAAAAGAAGTTAGGGGCAAAAACATCAATAAAGATTAAATTAATGAACCGGTCCATGAACAACTCAAATAATGGGTATGATGAAGATGAATATGATTGAAAACAAGCTTACGACAACTCACAACTCTATCCCTACGCGCCGGGGCAGCGCAAACGTAAATGCCCGAAAAGAAAAATCATTTAACTCGAAACGTCCCACTTCCCTATGCGGGGAAAAAAATAAAGACAAAATAAGGAAGGAAAATGCAGGCTGCTCTTTCCTCCTGCACCGAAAATTCCAGCCACAGATCCTCCTTCCCTAATCTGTTTCTCGTCGGCTGAAATCCAATTCAACGCTCGCTCTCCCTCGCCGCCTCCGTCCGCGAGGTGATCGCCGCCGTTTCTCTGATTCATCTTCCATGGCCGCCAATTCTCAGCCCGCAGGTCCGATTTTCCCTTTTCTCAATTCTTCCATTTTTCTATCTTCCTTCTTCTTCTATTGTCCGTTCCGCCGATGAGTTTCATGTTCCCCGAACAATTGCTTCGCCGGCTTCATCCTCTCGCTCCTCGATTAATTTCTGATCGGATTTGAGCCAGCCGTGCCTTGGGCTGTTTAATTTCACAATTTGTGCTACTTGTTGCTTCCACGACGAAAAATTCCTGCTTGTGAACTTCGGTTCAGAATTTCTATTGTATTCGAGCTGGATTCCGTGGAATCGGTATCAGCTGGTAATACCTGAAGTTGAGATTTTAAAAATGTTGCTTTGATAATGGAAATTTTGCTTCTGCGGGTTTCAGTGAAAATACCTGTATTGTCTGAACGCAATTGCATCGTTCTATGTTCTGATTGGGATGTTGATGACCTTTGCACTCTGGACGGAAACGTCCGAAGAGTTGATGATCTAAATATTTACTTATTACTCTCGACTGTTCTTATGCTGTAGGCGGTGGAGCTCCTCCGAAACCTTGGGAGCGTGCAGGGCCATCATCGTCTGGTCCAGCACCTTTCAAACCTCCGTCAGCTGGGAGCACCAGTGCTGTGGTTGAAGCATCTGGTACTGCAAAACCAGGTGAAATTGTTCCACCTGGCAATAACAATGCAGTGGCGAATACAAACCCCAACCAACGGCCTGTACCAAACAGGCCGTGGCAGCCACAGACAACACAGTATGGAGCAGGAGGTTTGTTTGTTTTTTTTTTTTTATGTCCTGGATATGCTCGCAAGCGTTCGAATTTTGTGTATATATGTACGCTTATGGTTGAGTTAAGTCTCGATATGTTAGCTAACTTAGTTGGTGTAATTGGAAAATGCTATTTATTTTCATCTATCTTGCCATCTTTTACCGAGAAGAAAGTATGAGCTTCCTTAAAGAAAGTGGTTCTTGGGAAATAATCACAGAAACATGAAAATTCCATCACTAATCAGAGCAGGAACCTTATTTGGTTGACTAATCAAGTTACGTTCTTTGTTGCTACTATGCAAGATATGCTCACTACTCACTAGTGTGCATTTTGTGTACACTTGATGCATATAATTAAGTTCTCTCTTGGCACGCTAGGTTGCTTGGCCGATTTAGTTGGAAAATGCTGTTGTATTTCGTCGTCTCTCCTCGTAGAGCTTTTCTATGGGAAAGACCGATGAGTTTCTTCAGTAAAGTGGTTCGCAGGAAATAGTCAGAGAATACCTAAAGTTCCATCAGAAACCATAGCAGGAATTGGTTGACTATTATCAATTTTCAGTCTCATGGTGTATTTCTTTGATTGTCATCTATTTATATGTTTTGGTTCTTGCTTCATGTTAATTTCTTCATTTCAGGGTATGGTATGAGTAATTCTTATGGAATGGGAGGTGGATACAGTAGCAGTTTGTATGGAAACAACATGTACAGAGGGGGATATGGTGGTTTAGGCGGTGGCGGAATGTATGGCGGTGGCGGAATGTACGGCGGTGGTGGGATGTATGGTGGTAGCGGGATGTATGGTGGTTATGGAAACCAAATGGGTGGTGGGTATGGAATGGATCCTTATGGTCAGCAGCAGAATCCTGACGATGTTCCTTCTCCTCCTGGCTTCTGGATTTCTTTCCTCCGTGTGGTAAGCCAATTTGTTTTGGCTTTTTGTCCCAACTTATGTTTTGCAGACTAAATGATCCAGTTGGAGGGAAGAAAAATTTCACTTCCTATTAACCAACTAATTAATCAATCCTTTAATATCAAGGGTCAAGCACATCGTTAACATAGATATTTTGCATGGGAGTTGGTTGCTGACTGTTGAATTGCTAAAAGATTTCAGTGGTGCTGCTAACCTTCTCACGGTCTCAACCTCCCTATATGATGACATGATCATATATACGATTTCATTGTTTAATGCATAAGGCACTAGTTTTTTCCCGGTTTCTTACTGTTGCTCTTGGTTGAGGATAGCTTAAGCTGCTCCTTCCAGTAGTAGAAGGGCTTAGAAAGCTTTTGTTGACTTCTTGTTGTGGACATTTTTCTTCTGAGCGAAAATGTGTGGTGTCAAGTTCTTCTACTTAAACTGTTTTCGTGGGTGTTTGCAGATGGCAGGTGCTGTGAATTTCTTTGGACGAGTAGCAATGCTGATAGACCAGAATACTCAGGCATTCCACATGTTCATGAGCGCTCTTCTTCAGGTTTGTATTCGCTTTTTAGTTGTTTTCTTTCCATCCCTCTTGTTTCTGTTATCGATATTTGTAAATCAGCAGATGAAGCATTGACCGATGTCTCATTTCCCCCCCCCCCCCCCCCCCCCCCCCCCCCCACTTGTTTTTTCATTTTCCCAGCTGTTTGATCGGTCTGGAATGTTATATGGCGAGCTAGCCAGATTTGTTCTGAGAATGCTCGGCTTGAAAACACCAAAAAAGGTCGACGGAACAGCACCTCAGGGGCAACAGAGGCAGCAACAGAACCAGGGTCCTAAAGCTGGCGGAGGAGGATGGGACAATGTGTGGGGAGACGAGAACAGCAGCTAAGTACAAGGACTTGGTCAACTGTAACCCGTTTCAACCATGGAAGAGAAATTTGAGCAAGAACAATGAAAGGGATGGGGAAAATGGAGTCCGTTGGGCGTCATCATGGCTCAGTGAGTTCAGGCCTCGAATCCCCGGCACAGTGCAAACAGCGCTACTTACTACACTACAGTAGAATGTCTGCTTGATTGAAATAAAATGAACTAAACTCTAGTACATATGCATATTATGCATTCTCTATCTCTCTCGTTTATCATTGTGGCCTTTACCATCTGTGTGTGCTCTCTGAATAGGTAAGGATTTCTCTAAGCATTGATATTTGTACTGTTGTGAAAATGTGTACAATCATTGAGTGATTTAAAGAAAACAAGAAGAGAAAGATTGGACTTTGGAATGTATCACGTTGTTATTCTTAATTAATACCGCCCCTTTTTAACGCATCAACTAGTAGATTGGTCAGCAAATGAGCCAATGTTCAATCAAACCTGCATTGGAGGAAGAGTTCTGAAATTGTCGCCCAACGCAGCAACGAAGTCACTCCAAATAGGATCAGTCTTCTTTCTCACGATACTTATTTCTGAAGCTCTCACGATCAGATGAAATGCCAAACATCCATAAATACTATCAATAAATACCCAAAGTTTGAATCACTAGAATTTTAACAAGAGTTTAAGCTTAGGCCCCGTTTAGTATTGTTGCCTGTTTTTGTTTCCTGTTGTGTTTTTAAAGATTGGAGAAACCAAGAAAAAAAAACATGTTTAGTTGGGTTTCTATTTTCTGTTGTGAATCAGAGTTGCACAACAAGGCCTAAATATGAGAAACAACAATTTATTGCTTTGGATCTGATTTTAAAACATGTTGCACACGGGATTCCTACTGGTTGGGCACTTGATTTCATTAAATTAGTCCAGTTTTTGAATCCCCACAGAAGCAAAATTTTTTCTTTTTTTTTAACACAGCTGCCACCCCCCAAACCCTACTTCTAACATATCAGCCGCCGCCCCCCAAACTATTCTTCCCTTAAACCCTTCTCAACAGAGGCGTCACCCGCCACCCTTCTCAACAAGGCGCCACCTCCGCCTCACCACCGCCGAGCCGCCCGCCACCTCCTCAGTCGCCGGCCCCTCCGCCTTCGCGCCCGACCCCTCCACCTTCGCGTCGATCCAGCCCGCCGCGCAGCCCCAACCCTCCGCCGCGCAGCCCGCCGACTCGCCGCCGACGTCCGCTTGCCGACCCCTCTGCCTCCGCGCCCGACCTCTCCGCCTCCGCGCTGACCCAGCCCGCCGCGCAGCCCGACCCCTCCGCCGCGCAGCCCGCCCAGCCCGCCGACCCGCGTTTTTGTAGTAACTAAACGCGTTTTTGTTTCTTGTTTTTCAGCTTTCATGATTTTTCAGATTTATCAACTAAAGAGGTTTGTGTTTTCTGTTTTTTTCCTGTTGTGGTTGTACATCTGTTTACACAACACCACTACAACCACAACAACAACAAAATGATACTAAACGGGCCCTTAACTTGTACTTGCTTAACAATCACAAAATTCATCCCAATCACAAATACTCGGTTTGCAAACTACACATTCATGCACAATTACAACGCATAGAAATAATTAAATAAAACATCCCATAAGCCATAACAACTAAGAAGGAAGTTGCCGGCTGCTGCTGTTATGCTTCAAATAAGTGGATTAAACTCGTGCTGCTGCTGTTTGCAAACTCCACTCGACTTCAAGCTGCTGCTGTTCTCTGTTCTGCAAGCTGCTGCAAACTCCATTCGACTTCAAACTCCATTCTGCAAGCTGCTGCACCTGCAAGCTGCCTGATCATAATGACAATGGAAGGGCAGCAGAACAATAAACAACAAATAAAGGTACCATTCAACTTCAGTAAAGGCACCAAACAATAAAGGGTTAATACCCTATTTTGACCCGAACTATAATCATATAATCAACTTTGGCCCGTGGTTTCAGAAATTAACATCCTGACTTCAACTATGCAGCATATAGACTCAATTGGCCCGACACATAGTTTGAGCGTCGATTTGGACGGTCAACATCATTGACCGTTAGTCAACACGTCATGTCATTGCCTCATCAGCATAAATCATTTAAAAAGTCAAATTATTTTCCTAATTTTTATTATTTATAATTTTCAAATTAACCAAAAATAAAAATTTTAAAAAATTTGTTAATTTTTGGTTAATTTATAAATTTTCAAATTAACCAAAAATTTAAAATTTAAACAATTTGTTAATTTTTGGTTAATTTATAAATTTGTCATTTTCAAATTACCGTAAAAAATTATTTTATATTTTTAGTAAGTTTATTTTTTGGTTAATTTGATAAATATTAGAAATTAGGAAAATAATTTGAATTTTTTAAATGATTTTTAGGTTGACGAGGCAATGACATGGCGTGTTGACTAACGGTCAACGGTGTTGACCGTCCAAATTGACGGCCAAACCATGTGTCAGGCCAATTGAGTCTATATGTTTCATAGTTGAGGTTAGGATGTTAATTACTGAAACCACGGGCAAAAGTTGATTATATGGTCATAGTTCGGGCCAAAATAAGTTATTAACCCAACAATAAACAACAAATAACATTCATTCGACACAACAAACCAGCAGAGGAATTTAATTAGTGTAGTGGCTGCCTTTGTTTTTAATTATTCCTGAGGGTATTATTACAATTAGAACATCATTTTGGTAGAGAGCTTAGAGGGAGAGCTCAGAGGTCGAGCTAGGTCACTCGTGGTCTCCAGTCTCGTGCAGTCGTGCCCTAATGCTCTTCTGTTTAAATGGCCAATTTGGTTGGGTTCTCAACTTCTGGCTGGGCCGGGCTTCAAAAATAAAAAAAGACAATTGGAGATTTGGAGTTGGAGACGTCCAGAGTCCAGACGGGCTTTATCTTTCTGTCTACTGCTTTTGTATTTTTAATGGGTAAAAATCTTGTGTCACTTGTATTTATTCAATTTCGCATTCTCAATTTTTAATGGTATTAGAGAAAATCTCGTTTCATGCCAGGGTTTGATTCTTGTCTTCACTACTAGTCACTAATCTTAAGCCCCCTCGCCATGTCCAACGAAGATGTCAACTCGACCACACCTAGGAAGGGTTCTTCTTCCTCTTCCATCAAAGTCATTGGTCTGAATTCTCCTTTGTTTCTTCACCCGTCCGATTCCTCAAGTCAGATATGTGTGGGCGAACCACTAACTGATGCCAACTATGGAGAATGAGCATCTAAGATGTCGAATGCCCTCCTTGCCAAGAACAAACTCGGTATTATCATCGGAACTGCTCCCAAACCTCCTTTGGGAGAACCGCTTGGGTAAGGTGTAACGCCATGTTCGTTGGTTGGCTTCGTTAAGCTATGTCACGCGAGATATAGATGAGTCTCAATTATAGTTTTACTTCGAAGCAAATCTGGAATGAACTACTGAAGCGCTTTTTCATGGGCACTCTGCGACATCGATATACAATTCATCCGCAAATAACGACTCTTCGCTAAGATCGTACCAACGTCTCTACTTTCTACGCCAAACTCAAGTGGTTATGGGATGATTGGCTTTCTTTCGATGCACTTGTGGCAATTGCTCTTGCAACGTTGAGCAGCAGACACATGAATCTCATGAAACTATGAAGTTGCTCGATTTTCTCGTTGACCTCAATGATAGTTTTTCCACTATCCGGACTCATCTCTTATCATTGAATCCAACTCCGAGTCTTATTGAGGCTTATCATGATGTCGCCAATGACGAACAACAACAAATTGTCACTAATTAGCAAAGACCGCGTGTCAACGACACTGTCTTTAGGGTGAGAGGGAGCATTCTACGCCTGATGAACGCACGTCCGAAAGTTGACCCATATGGAACCATTGTGGAAAGGTTGAGAATTTCAAGGAAACATGCCACGACATCATCGGTTGGCCGCCCAAGTCAGGGCAGAAAGGAGATCTCCCTCGTCATTGCAATTTCTATCGCCTCCTCGAGGTGATCCACATGTTGCAGCTGCTGAGCGATTTTAACTTAGCAGTACAGGACTCACATTGGAACATGTAGCCCAACTCAAAGTGTTTTTGGGAACTCCGAACCGACTCCTACTTTTGCCCCTGGCACAACAACCCAAAGCCAACATGTCAAGTACGTCTTCCTTCGATTTATCCACGACATGGGTGACTCGTCCTGAATACCATAATAAAAAACCCAATCAAGGCCGTCTCCCAACGTGTTTCGCTCTCTAAAAATATCCAAAACCGTAATTTCTCTCTCAAAGTGGGCTCTCCTTGTCAAGCTCATCTATTTATAGGCCTTGTAAATCTCGGGCAAGTTCACGACCAAGAGTTGAAAGATCGAGGTCATGATCTGGTTGCGATGGCCCGCGATATTCAACTTCATCGTATTATCCTTGCAGGGTAAGGAATCGCGGCCTGAGTTTGCGGTCGCGATCTTTATTTCACGGTCCCAATCTTTATCACAGCTTCGTTCAACTTGGCATGCGATCCCCGAAAGATTTTGCTTCTTTCTTCCCTTCCTCTTTAAGTTCGCATCCAAGTGGTCCTAGATCGCGTCCGTGATCTTTTAGCATTCGCCCGCAATCTTTTGGCTAGACAACGCAGGCTAGTTTCTCGGTCAGGATCCTGCTCCATAGGCTGCAATCTTGGTGTCTACTCCTTTTTCCTACACATTAGCCACATTCTCCCATTTTTCGCTTGTAATGTCAAATGCGGCCTAGAATAACATGATATAATAAAAATAAAACAATCTAGACTACAAATGATGTTTTATAAATCAAATCATGCTCAAAATGATAATAAAACCCCTTATAAATGAAGGTTAAATAACACCTTTTTGGGTATTATCATCACTTTGTTCTCTTCTCTGCATGCTTTATCTCACTTGATGCACAAGTCTATCATGTGTCCTTCTGTGGTGCCCATTTTGCAGGACTCTGAGCTCCCTCCTTCTCCACCACTCCATCCCCCTTAATTGCCAAAAGAGCCATTCAAGGAGGAGTGGCGGCTGAAGCTGAAGGTAGCCAAGCCTGCCAAAAAGACAGTTGGAGACCACTATGAGCTGGTTAGAGCCCCTAAGCCGCGATTTCTCAAGACATTCGAGTATTCACTCGCTGCATCCTACCATATGGCTGAGTTGAGAGTTAGGTTGCTCTAATGATCATGCCCTCTATGTTCATGGCCACCATCTGAAGTTATACCTCAAGAGCGATGTGGATCCTCTCTTGGAGGAACATGTGCTTACACCATTATGAGCATCCACCATTTGCGTCCAGCTAAAGACGTAAAAGAAGCGCTAGTTGATCAGCCCAACCACTTGTTTTTTTTCCTTTTCCTTTTGTTTTTGTGTTTTTGAGTCACCCTTGTAGTCTATTGTGTTTGTTGATGTCGGCAATGGTCCCACCCTACCTAGCCCCGTACTGCTCTCCCTTCAAGCCAACAGTTGTCTCTTATCGGTACCATCGTTCCCCTTTCTCTACCTTTGCTCCATTGAGGGTAATGTTAAACTTAAGTGTGGGGTGTTTATTCTCTAAATGGTTGGTTGTGTGCGTGTGTGTGCGCGCTTGGAGCCTAGTCCACTGTCCAAAAAAATTTAAGTTTGAGGGCTTTAATATCGGTTGGTTGATTGTGTGAATTAGTAATCTTAGGTAATTTGAATCGTGTTGTATGATGACTCCCTACTTGTTGTGGACTCCTCTATCCTTTTTTGAAATGCGCTAAATTTTGCTTTCAAAATTATGTCTCCCGTGTGGCAATCGGTCATAGTGTGTGAGTTTGTACTGTCAAAGGGAAATTCTCTTGGCCAGTTTCTTTAGAGGAACATGTAAGGAGAGACGGGAATCCGTTCCCAACTTTCACCTACCACCTCCAACCCCCCCCCCCCCCCCAACACCTCTTTCCTCCGCACAAGGCTTGAGACATGTGCTCTCAGCATGGCCAGTAAGAGCATACTCCCGCAAAAGCTTTTCTAGGTGGGAGTCCCGTTTTCTGAAAATGGCAGGTTGGAACCCTTGAAAATAAGAAAAAGAATAAACAAACGAGAAAATGAAAGAAACAAAAAAGAAATGGGTTCCAACCATCTTCAAAGAAAAAAAAACACCTAAAAAGATGATTCCATGATTTTTTTTGTTTGAGAGTCACTTTATCTACGAGTCATTTGCCCTAGGAATACTATTTGGCATGATCCCGACTCGGGACTAGATTTATCGCCAAAGGAGGTAGGAGGTGAGAACACTTAAATTAGTGTTGTTTATTCTTCATATTGAGGTTTGTTTCATGCCATTTAATGTGTATAAATGCTAAAACATCGTCAATTGCATCTCTATTACATTCCTATTTGAATTCGATGTGATTTTAGGGTGTGTTAGATGATAAATGCGAATTAGGTGTTACACCCCGACATCTGGGTTCAGGTTCAACCAAAATAAATGAATGATTGAATCCACGATTACGTACGAAAAGATCAAATCAAACCAAGTTAAGGACCAAGGTCTAATTAATTGAGGCGGCGTGAATTGATAATTGTTAGGCGGAAGGATTGTAACCATGGGTAGAGTAATAATAACAATTATTGTTATTATTTATGAATAAGTGTATTATATTATATATATATATGGTTCAGATTAGCGTACGTCAGGCGTATATTGTACGCCCGTCGAGTTTTACTATTTAGAGCACGAATTAACCGGAGTTTGGAGTATGCTACTATACCCTAACCTCTAATGGATGAAAACCCCAGTACCTAATTCTCTAACCAATGCCACAAGATTCATTTAATCTAAAAAAATAATAACCGACGGTTCTGATTCGGCAAAATATATTAAAGTGCAAAAACCAAATGTGAATACAATGTACGACCGTCATAAAGGGGAAAATCATATCGTTTCCGCCGCTCCTCCAAAACTCAACGCAAACTCTGGTAGTGGAAAAGGGATCAAGGAAATTGTACTCCATCTGTCGCACACAGAAGATCCGGACAGTGGATCAAGGGGAGGGGTTGAAATGGCTCAGTTACGAAGTGGGACTGCTCGCTATCGGAAGGACGAACGAGACAAGATTCGTTTGGCCAAGAGTAAGAAGACGCTCGGAAGGTTATGGCAATGGTGAAAAATCTCAAGGCCACGACGGCGTGAGATGAAGGCGCCACACGAATGACACGATGGAGGTAAGGAGTTGGAACTTCCCTTTCTTTTTCGACTTAAGGACTCACACACGACAATTGAATGGATAGAAGTTAAGCACATAATGAAATGATTCTGGTTCGGAAGTTAGCTGGAACCTCCCACGTATGCATCAATGGATTGTATTAGGCGAGGAAATCCAAGTTAATTTTAGTAATAATGTTAGTGGGTTCTTTGTTCTAAGAAATTAGTGTGCGTGAATAGTGGTATCAATAAGTTAAGAGGGATTTATCTTTAATCGAATAATAATTGATGGAAGGCTAGGTTACGATTAGCGCATGATAATTCATGATTTTAGGTTAATGTAAGGAGCAAAGCAAGGACGTATTGGATTATCGTACATGCTCTCTATGAGTAATGATGAATTGAGCTAGACGTGTCCTAGCAATGCGAAGAGGCAAAAGAAGAAGGAAGTTGAGGTTTTGCAGCATACAAAGGTTCATATTTCTAGTCAATCGACCGGAATAATAAGGTGAGCGTTTAAGAGGGTAAATTCTACGCCTTACATGTTTTTTTTTTAAAAAGTAATTGCTTTACGTGAAGTTGTGTGATTGATTTATGTCATGTTTGATTATGCATGCTTCGATTTGAGTTATTGTTTGAGCATTTTAATATCTACGCTAAGCATTTGAGTTTTTGTCTTGCTATTTAAGCACTTACAACGTTTAAGAGCAAGTTTTAGTAGTACTTCACCCTTAAATAAGTTAAGGTAAATAGATTAAGATAAAGTAATAAGTAAGAACTAGATAAGTAACCTCGCTTACGTTCACGAGGGATCACTACTGGACGGTGATACGTAACGCAGTAGTTGATCGAGCATGGAACTGGACGGTGATACCTAACGCAGTTTCCATTGCCAAGTATTAGGTATGCAACTAGAGGGTGATATGTAACGCGGTTGACATACATTAGTTTTGGCACCAGACAACGATACGTAACGCGGTAGTCAAAACTCAGATTAAGGGGCACCTCATTGTGAGGGTAGCCATGGTTAAGTAAGGCAAGTAGTGGCGCCATCTAAGTCGAGGTAGGGGCCTGTTATAAGATAAATGTTTTAAGATACTCAGAAAAGAGTTCTAAAGTTTAAGATTTTGAGGATGGCGAGTAACTACAACTCCCACATATTTGAGAGTTAAAGTTTAAAGGATGGAAGTACAAATAACTTCACAAGTTTTAAAGTGAAGAATCCTCGTCACTTTAAAACTTGTGAAGAATCCGGAAAGGTTTGCTGCTCAGTTTGACTGTGGTTGGAACCATCTCCCGACGATCTATTTGGGACTTCCTCTTGGTGCAAGTCCCAATTCTGTTTCGATTTGGAATCCGGTGTTGACGAGGTTTCAGTCCAGATTAGAGGGTTGGAGAGGCAAATTTCTATCTTTTGGGGGAAGGCTTACTCTTGCTAGCAGTGTCTTGTCTAGCCAGCCCCTTTTCCTTGGATCTCTTTGCAGAGCTCCTAAGGCGGTCATTGGGAAGATGGAAAAATCCCAGAGGAAGTTCATTTGGTCTGGAGCCCTGGATAAAAGTAAATACCACCTTGCCAATTGGAAATTGTGTGAAGCCTCAAAACAGAATGGTGGTTTGGGTATTTTGGATTTAGAGAGCATGCATTCTACCCTCCTATCTAAATGGCTTTGGAAGTATGCAACTGAAAAGGAGGCCTGGTGGAAGGAGATGATTTCTATCAAGTTTCCTAACCCTGTGTCTGTTTGGAAAGCTGGTCAGGGTGGTGGGAGGATGGGATGCTCACCCTGGAAATCGATTGTCAAAGAAGACCCGTCTTTTTGGAAGTTTGCTATGGTTGACCCTAGAGGTGGTGCGTGGGTTTCTTTCTGACAGGACCATTGGAATCATGGTACGACACTCGCCGAGTCTTTCCCCAGAGTTGCCGCCGCTTCTGCTCTCCCTCAAGGTTTGGTCTCCGAGTTTATATCCTTTTCTTCTGAGGGGGTGAGTTGGACTCTTCCGCTTAATTTTTCTTTGAGAGGGGAGGCTGAGAGGGAGAGGAGCGAGCTTTTTAATTTTCTGTCAAACCTTCCTCTTGGTTGGATTTCTTGTGGCCCTTGCAGGATGGTTTGGTTACTTGACCCAAAAGCAGGTTTCTCTGTGCACTCGATGTATCGCAGCATCTGTGACGAGAAGTTCCCTAGAGTGATGGATTTCCCAGTTAGTGTGGTGTGACGTTCTAAGGCTCCTTCGAAGGTCAATGGTTTTGTGTGGCTTCTTTGTCACAACCGCTTCCTCACACATGACAATCTGAAGAAGCGCGACTGGAACGTGGTGAGCAGATGTGCGTTGTGTGAATCTGATTCTGAGACAACTTCACATCTTTTCAGAAGCTGCTAGTTTAGCATGAGGATTTGGGACAGGTTCTTGAGCGTCCTGTCCATCTTGGGCCCCTTCCCACATGCTCTGAAGCAAGTGTTTGGGTGCTGGAGCTTCAATGATCCCTGTGTTTGGACGGATTGGTTTCGACAGCTGTTGCTTCATGCGTTTGTATGGGAGATTTGGAAAGAACGAAATGGCAGAATGTTCAATGACAGGAGCAAGTCCTGGCAGGCTGTTTTTCACAGGATTGGATGCACGCTTCGGCATTGGATATTGGCTGCGGGGATGATTAGTGAGCAAAAGGCTAGATTGTGGTCGAGTATGATGGCTCTGGCGTGTCCCTCTTCTTGAGCTTTTCTGATTTGCTTCTTCTGTTTTGTGCTTCCAGTTCGTTTTCCCCCTGTTCTCTTCCTTTGGTTTTTCTTTTCTTTTGGCGAACTGGCGGGGTGTCCCCTCCTTTTCTCCTTTTCTCTTAAGTTTGTTTATTATATTTGTTTCTGTACTCTGTATACACCTCTGGTGTATTTTCTTGGCAATGCATTTTCATCATTATCAAAAAAAAGTTTTAAAGTGAACACCTAAGGAAACAACCTTAGCCGCTCAGAGTTTAAGTAGGGTGTAGACTGACCCCAAATGACTCACCAAGTCATAGAGAAGAATCGATTGAAAAGTTAGATGGAGAGCTACCGGGTAGAGGAGCATCAAGCTAGAGGAGGACTCCAGTACAAAGATTTTCAAATTCATGTAATTGGTAGGACTTGAGACTTGATGCGAGTTTGTTAAGATTATTTATGGTTTGTCAATTTACTCAAGGAATTATTATACGAGTGAAGATTGATATCCGAGAGCAGATTATACAGACTATTGTGAATATGAGTACTCTGATTTTGGTTTTCCCCTCTCTCTCTATGGAGTAAACCTCCTTCTCGCTTGGGTATGAAGAACCCTAGTTCCATGTGTTAGGAATATTGTTGGTATGAACCTTTGGATTAGGGATGGCAATGGGTCCAGAACAGGTCGGGTAGTGTGGTACCCGGACCTGCCCTGCCCATTTGATTTTCGCCTCGCCCCGCCCCATAACCTGCCACGGGTTATGACAACATGACCCATGCCCTGCCCTGCCCTGTACAGGGCGGGTCAAACCCGCCCTGCCCCATGCTTTTCATACAATAAAACATGTATATAATTGAATCATTCACCATTCATCCTATTTTAACTCAAATTCAAAACAAACATAAAAATACTTGCAAATTTGAACGAACAATTGTTCTAAACTGAAGCTAAAAGGACAAAAAAAGAAGATCAACACTGCTGCAATTCTCAAGCTTCAATTGGATATTCCTCAAAATCTAGACTCTTCCAATTTACATCCCCATTTCTCCAAGCAACTTCAAACCTCGGTTCATCAAGTTTCTGCAACCTGCATCTTCATTCACCATAAATCCACATCACATGATGACCTATTTAAAAATAAGTAAACATAGCAGATGATAAAGAACAAATGAATCGATCACATATATAAATGCTAGTAGAGACCAGCTTAATTCAATACTAATTACTATAAATCTGATTACATGTAGCACATTTAACCAATTAACGAGGATATTTGACAAAAACAAAAATATGTCCATGGATTAGCACTCAAATATAGAGCAAAGTTTTTTGCAGCAGTTGCTCTGCGGGTCCTCTGCTACTTAGAAACAAACAACAATGGTTGAAAGAGTTATAATAAATTAATAATTAATCCAAATCATATTATCACACCTGATATGCAGCAACTTTGCCATCCACTCTATTTCTATCCAAATCACATTATCACATCCTGATATGTAGCAACTTGATATGCAAACTTTCAATAAATTAATTTGGACTTTGCATGCAAACAAATACAAAAGCAGCAAATAGTTCAAGATTCATTACCTGTGCGCTAACTGCAAGATGAGTGATTGGCTTGACGAGGACAAGATGTGAAGCAGATAGGTGATTAGGATTTGAAATGGCCAAATGGGGGTGAGACTTGGAGTAGCTCTTTGCTGTCAGTCGCCTATTTATGTGAAAATTGAAACTATCGGCATGGACAAGATGAGAAGCGACAACCTAGGGTTAGGACTTGGGACTCGGAGATGAAAATTAGATTCAGATTTCAGAACCAATAGAGATTGAGAAGATGATTTTTGGGAAGGTAAGCATATCAATTACATTCAAAGGGAAGGGTAGGCGTGAGTTCTGTGCGTGGTTTCGAGTAGGGCTGCAAATGAGCCAAGCCGCTCGCGAGCAATTCGGCGTTCGAATCGGAAAAAACTCGTTCGACACTCGACTCGTTATTTAACAAGCCGGCTCGCGAGCCAACTCGTTAGTTAACGAGCCAAGCCTGAGCTAGACCATGCTCAGCTTGATAAGCTCGCGAGCTAGCTTGATTCGGTGGCTTGTCGAGCTAAGCTCGCGAGCTGCCTTGTTTTGAGCTTGTGGAAGGATGAATTACTCTTTTAAACATGAACATTGTCTTATAATACAGATGTGTATGAAATTTAGATGTTATTTCTAGTTTCTAGTGTTCTTTCTATCATTTAAATTCTTATGTTTATACATTTTTCCAGCAAAAATGATTTTAAATCGAGCTCATCTTGAGCCGAGCTTGTACTCAGCTTAACAAGCTATGTTAATGAGCATTTATCGAGCTCTACCGAGTCGAGCTCGAGCTAGATTATTTTTATTCAAGCCGAGCTCGAGCTCGAGCTGGATTATCAAAATTCGAGTTCGAGCCGAGCTCGAGCTGAAAAATTAATAAACGAGCCGAGCTCAAGCTAAGCAAAAACTCGACTCGACTCGGCTCGTTTGCAGCCCTAGTTTCGAGGATGGATTATTGATGATGTAAATCGGGAATGGAGAGTGAGCGACTGGACGAGGAGAGAAGAGAGAGGTGATTGGGAAAGTGTGAAAGTAAATACTCAGCAGCTTCTATGTTTGGGGAGGCGGTTGGAAACTTGGGGTGGGTTAGGGCCTTAGGGGGAGAGAAGATGCGGGCCGGGGCGGGCTGGGCTTGGTATCCGGACCTGGCCTGAACTGTGATGGGTCGGGCCAAGACCCGCCCCATTTATGAACGGGTCGGGTAGGACCTGCCCCAAAATGGGCTGGGTCGGGCCAAACCCATCGGGCCGGGCCACTTTTGCCATCCCTACTTTGGATGTTACATTGATTGGTTTTAATCAATTAAGGCATGATTATTTGAGTCATTTGAATCTTGATTGCATTCTTTGATTTCAGCTTTAACCTAAGATAAATAGAATCTAATTAGGTTAAGAGAGCATTTGCAATTGATAGTAGGGAATCCATCGTGCGAGAGTCAATCAATTCACTGCTTTGTACTGGAATTAATCCTAGTAGTGGAGTTTTTTTTTGTATTGCCTGAACATTGTACTCCAGTGGAGGTCAATCGCCCGAAGGGTACTTTGACTAAGAGGGTTGTCGGCCTAAGAGATTCAAAGCTAGTATCGGATGTTCCGCAGTATATTCATTCATAAAACGACTAAAGGAAATTACAACTTAGACCTGAGGAGCTAGGGGGACACATACCTGAGTGACCTCTCTTGCATTTCATAACCAGAACAATTTACTTGCTTTCCTTTTTTGCTTAGTTTGCAAACAACTTCACTAAAACTTAATCGCTAGATAATAGAGAATTGATCGAGTAAATAGTACACCTAGGACCCGGGTTGACAAATAGAACTTAATCCACTTTACTGCACCACATGTTATATTGGCTTGTTGTTGTGTTTTAGTGAGTCACAACCCTACCCAGACCCTCCTTCGACGGCAACTCTACTAGTAATCATGTGAGCTTAATCCAAGTTTGAAAGACCGAGTTATCAATGACCAATGCTTGAATACCTGGAACCCAACCTCTCAGATAAAACATGATATCGTGATAGTGTCATTGTACTCCTTCAAACACCCATCAACATATATCCACCAAAGGGAGCTGAAAGAAGACTAGTCGATCCTCGAATAAAAAAAACTTCACCTCTCCTTTGTGCCCCATAACCAATTAGCCCAACAATGTATCATTGCAAGAGACAGTGGAGGGATCGAAAACTGGCCAACCAAACTATTCTTTAATCGCTTCATTTTCTCCTCAATGATTGATTTAGTAATACAAAGAGATCCATTAATGAGCTCAGACTCGTACTATTCTAATATGTTATCTTCTAAAGCACCCTAAATGGAAGCATAAGTCCAACCGCCACCAATGGTGCTTGGTAAGGCCCCCATCGTCGGTGCTGCCATCGAGGTAAGAAGAGGAGTCACTGAAGCCTATAGTGAACAAAAGACAGAGAAATAGAAAGAGAGATAATCATCCATTTAACTATCAATTTAGTTACGGATAAACCAATCTCAAATAACATTAGACAAATTATATTTTTAAATATTTTTCATTTATTTTTATTAATTTATTAATTATATGTATTTTAAATTTTTTAGAGAAAAGATTTGAACACATTTTATTTATATAATAGAGGCTCCAGAATTTCAAAGCAGCCCGTTCATACCTCCGCCCTACCAGACAGTGCCGTATCAGCTTCTTCAACTTCAATAGCCATAGAGGTGTGTGCCTGTCTACACAACTCAGACACCTGTCGTCATTGCATATGACATTTGGCACCATTTCACTACCTCACACCATGGTCCATGAAATCGTACCGGAGACAGTATCGGAAAAGTCAGCGGTAGAGTATTTTATGGTAAAACCGTGGTTTAACCGTAGTTCAACCGTTATACCGGTAAATACCGCATATCGGTTTAGCCTCCAATACTGGTATTTCGTGGTTGAACCGCCGATACGGTACGGTTTAATGGACACTGCCTCACACATCCTCTCTAACTCTGATTGTGATGGCAAAATTGTTCGAAACCCCAAAACAAAAAGAGAAATTAAAGAATAATGTCCAACACCAGAAAGAAAGAAAAAAAGGTTTAAACCTCAAATATACTGTAATAATACGATAAGGTGACAGTATAAATACACATGGAATGGAGCCAGAGCCAAAGAAAGACGTGTGCTTTCATCAACTTTTTTCTCGGTTCCTACAGCCAACATCTCCATATTGTCTCACACCACTTTTGGCAGCAAGTTTTCTTCTGCTGCATTCGACAAGCTTCTAAGGAGGTAAGGTAAACCCAAGCAAACTACTTTTGCCGTATCATTCTCCCTCTCTTTCATGTTCCAAAAAAAGCAGCTTCTTCACTGTTTTGCTTATTGGGTTCCGCACGCTACTGTTTCTGCAGGTTTGAGTTTTGTCATAGCTGTGGCAGTCCAAAAAAGCTTCCATCTTGGGCTCCATTAGTTCCAGGTCTATATTTCTGGTTATTTCGTTCCCCTGTTCTTTCGTTTGGGTTTTGGTTTGTTTTGGATGCTTGGGCTGTGATTTGGTATATTAATGAGTCCTGTTGTTGCTTTAGCATTGTGTTTAACTATGGTGATCAGATCAGTTGTTGGGTTTGCTCATTAATCCAGAGTTTCTAACCAATTTGTTCCAATTACTGGACCATTGGGAGAGGTTATTAATCGTTGTAGGGATCTTACATAATTATCTTCCTCTGTAAATTTCTCCCTAACAAAAGTCTGGCCATCATGCTTGAAGTTTGTACCATACTAAATCAACTGTTATTTATCAACTTTGCCATGATCTGAACATGTTAGTCAAGGATCAGTCCGTTGCAGTGCCTCGAATTGTCGGCGAGTTAGAACGATGAATTTTGTCCTCATTACAGGAACAATGCTTGTAAATTTGCCGTCTTTCTGGAATCTGAGCTAATTTGATGAAGAAAAATGTTACTACCCATGTGGTTGATTTCTTAATTTTTACACTTACTCTTCCTTTGGTTTGCATCTCTGACTGAAGTTCCGAATGCTCCCGTTTTAGGTGACCGTTGAATCAGCACCAGAAGGGAGGCATTGTGTGATCATTCAAACGAAGATGGTAGATTCTGTTGTGGATAAACTAGCTCCAACTGATATCAGCTCATCATCATCCGCAGTGAAACTTTATGGAACATATGGAATTCTGGTTTCAACTGTTGCTGCCATACTCATCCCAATTCTACTATCTCTCATGGTCATGGCCAAGAAAAGGACCAAACAAAGAGGAGTGCAAGTACAAGTTGGTGGTGAGCCTGGGTATGCAGTCCGAAATGCTCGAATTCCAGAGTTGATTGAATCTCCATGGGAAGGAGCAGAAACATTGGCTGCTCTATTCGAGCAGTCTTGCCAGAAGTATGCGAAGCAGAAGTGTCTTGGAACCAGGAAGTTAGTTGAAAAGGAGTTCGTTACAGCTAGTGATGGAAGGAAGTTTGAGAAGGTTCACTTGGGAGGCTATGAGTGGGAGAGCTATGGACAGGTTTTCGATCGCGTCTGCAATTTTGCTTCTGGGATGATTCGGTTGGGGCATGATGTTGGTAGCCGTGCTGCAATCTTTGCTGAGACCAGAGCTGAATGGTACATTGCATTTCAGGTACTATTTACTTAGGACCTTCTTCTAACATATTTAGTTATTGAGGTGACCTGGTTCACTTGAAAGAATGTGAGATCTCTTCATTCTTTGTGTTTCAGGGATGCTTTCGTCAGAAGATAACTGTGGTCACTATTTATGCTTCTCTAGGTGAGGATGCGCTGATCCACTCGCTCAACGAGGTACCCAACAGACCTTTCTTCTCGACCTTTCTCTTATCACGAGTATCACTTCCATTTGTTTTAGCAACTCCTAAGACATTTTGGTTTCGGCAGACTGAGGTATCTACACTGATATGTGACTCAAAGCAACTGAAGAGGTTGGCAGCAATAAGTTCAAAACTAACTACAGTCACCAAAGTCATCTATTTTGAAGATGCTGGGAATACTGATGCTAACATGAGTTTAGATGTGGATAACTGGAAAGTTTCTTCCTTCTCTGAAGTTGAGAAACTGGGGCAAAATGAGCCTCTTACTCCGAACTTTCCTTCCAAAGATGAGATTGCCGTTGTCATGTATACAAGTGGCAGCACTGGTTTACCCAAGGTCTGTTTATCCACAATAGCAGCAGTGTGAATTACTTCAGTGAATGGTCTGTGATGGAGAACCAAAACAATTCAAATTATAATTATAATAATCAGATCCTGCCTGATTTCCATTTCAATCTGGTTTCAGTTCAATTTGGCCTGGCTTGGACCGAGTAATTGCCCACCCCCTACCTTTCAAACTCTTTAACATATTCTTTCCAAAAAAGAATCGAACTTATGCTTCTTGTAGTTGAAGTCTTTCCATACTTTTTCACAATTCCCTAATAGCAGTCTCTCAACCTTCTGAAATTCCTAGGGGGTGATGATCAGTCATGGCAACATTGTGGCCACAGTTGCAGCTGTTATGACAGTGATCCCAAACCTTGGGAGCAATGATGTGTACCTAGCTTACTTGCCACTAGCTCATGTTCTTGAGCTTGCAGCTGAGGTAGATGATTCTTTCAGTCTGCAGCTCCTTTCCTTTTTTCTTTTCAATGTTTGCATTCAAGTCAAATTTCTTTTGGTGTGGTTTTGGGCAGTCTGTAATGCTGGCAGCTGGCTGTGGAATTGGATACGGGTCAGCATTGACCTTAACAGACACTTCAAACAAAATCAAGAAGGGAACTCCAGGGGATGTTACTGCCCTTAAGCCAACTCTCATGGTCGCTGTTCCTGCTATATTGGACCGTATTAGAGAAGGCGTGCTGAAAAGGGTAGGGTTTAATGTTTTATTTGGAAGGTAACTTTAAGTGGAAGAAGGTGAAGGTGTTAAAGGTGTAGGTAGTTTTTAGTTTGCTGAACATAATCCAATTCAAGACGGAAAGTGTAAAGTACGTGATCGTTTTGGATGATGGATTCTATGGATGAATTGTTGCTTGAATCCCATCAGTTGATAGATACAAAAAATGTATCGTTTCAAGTTTGATTTCACCAGAAAAGAAGATATTCTTGGATATTAAAATGGAGAACCTGTTTGGTATGATGAACTGCTTTTTTCCTTTCAGGTAGAGGGGAAAGGAGGTTTGGCAAAGAAGCTTTTCCACATTGGATACAAAAGACGGCTGGCAGCCGTAGAAGGAAGCTGGTTTGGTGCATGGGGACTTGAGCGGATGCTTTGGGAAGCCATTGTTTTCAAACCAATACAAGCTTCGCTTGGGGGATGTCTTAGATTCATGCTTTGTGGTGGAGCTCCTTTGTCTGCAGATTCACAGAGGTTCATCAATGTGTGCATGGGGTAATGAGTTTTCTGTCACCTTTTTTTCATAAAAGCTTAGAGGCTGGCTGGATGGCGTTCAAGTTAAAATGCTTTCCAGATACAACTAAAGTTTTATCTAAAGTCCACCATGCTCACACAATGGTCTCCTTTAGGGCTCCCATTGGGCAAGCATATGGTTTGACAGAAACTTCCGCTGGAGCTGCATTTTCCGAATGGGACGACACTTCAGTAGGTCGCGTTGGACCGCCTGTTCCTTGTGCCTACATCAAGGTTTGGACTACAGTTTTGTCAGCAGATCGTGGTCATGTATCAACAATATGTAAGATCTTTAGAGAATAGTCTTCGAAGTGATGTGCTTTTTTGGTATCTGCAGCTTGTTTCATGGGAAGAAGGAGGCTATACAATAGCAGACAAACCGATGCCAAGGGGAGAGATAGTAGTTGGGGGAAACAGTGTAACTGCCGGTTATTTCAACAACAAAGAAAAGACTGATGAGGTTTACAAGGTAAAACCCTAAACCGAAATATCGATTGCTCATCCTTTCGTGGAAAGTTGCCCTCCAAACAGCAGAAGCGAAAAACTAACTTGGTTTATTTCTTCTTCTTTCAATGCCATCAGACCGACGAGAGGGGAATTCGCTGGTTTTTCACAGGTGACATAGGGCAGTTTCACCCTGATGGATGCCTCGAGATCATAGATAGGAAGAAGGACATTGTTAAGCTTCAACATGGAGAGTATATCTCACTTGGAAAGGTTTGGGAGCAGAGATATCTTTCTGTTTATTGACACAAAAGCAAGGATATAGTGTTATTATTTGGCTCATATTGCATGGTGGCTTGTCCTCTGATTGCAGGTTGAAGCAGCTCTATTGACAAGCAACTATGTAGACAACATCATGGTGCATGCAGATCCACTGCAGAGCTATAGCGTAGCTCTGATCGTTCCATCACGACAAGTGCTGGAGAAATGGGCTCAAGAGGCAGGAATCGACCATCGGGACTTCGCTCAACTGTGTGAGAGAAATGAAGCTGTTGATGAAGTTCAGAAGCAACTTTCCAAGGTTGATTTGCTTCTTTATTTTCTTCTTCTTTTTTCCTTTCACTTAGGGAGGCTGATAGGCAAAAATTTGGCTATGCAGGTAGCAAAAGCTGCAAAGTTGGACAAGTTTGAAACTCCAGCAAAGGTGAAGCTACTCCCGGAACCATGGACACCAGAGTCGGGATTAGTGACTGCAGCTCTCAAGATAAAGAGGGAGCAGCTGAAGTCTAAGTTTAAAGATGATCTCCAGAAGCTCTATAATTGAATCGACTGGCTTAGACAGACAGGTTTCATGGCTTCAACTGTTATATTCGATAGCAACTACTTGAGGGTTCTTGCAACATTATCTAGATCTTCTACAGATGTCTGTTTTTGGTGCTTTTGAGTTCTGAGAAGAGATGTTTCATGTGAAACCATTCTGCAACACTTTTGGCTTTCATAGATTCTGATGACCTAAATTGAATGGCTCGAAAAGCAATTTTCAAGGCAGTACATGTGTTCATATCTCCTGCCTTAGGGTTTGAATTTCTAACCTCTATACAATCAAACAACTATCTCGGAATTACAACTTCAGCCATCAGGAAGTCGACACTTGTCCTCCCTAAAGCAAGAAGTCGCTCAGCTCGATTCGAGACGGGTAGCCAAGAGCTTGATAGATTCTTCCTTGAGCCATATCTGAAATTGCTTTCACAGCTGTGCCGAGAATTGATTTGAATGTAGAGAAGCAAAGCTTCAAATTTGGATGTCTACTCTGGCTCTGAACGGGTTGCAAGTTCTGATAATGATGGCCGTAGGACCAAATATAAAGCTGGACCCAGGAATGGAATCAACGATAAAGGAAGGAGCCAAGCACCTTTATCAAACCTGTCGAAAAACAATCATGAAATCTGATTTCATGATAATAAAGAACTTGCTCTAAAGATTTCAAAGCAGAAATGAACCTCACCATTTTCGAGCAGTCATATCATTGTAAACCCAGAAAGGAGCGAACAAAGACAGCAGAGAGAAATCGAGGGATGTGATGTGAATCTGCAGTAAATACGTGAGGGATGCATCCAATATAGCAGGACAAAGAACGAGGCTATTAGATCTTTGGTTCACCAATGGCACATGGTGAAGAGAAGAAGAGAAAGATAAATCTAACAGGAGTTGCTTACAAATTTGCTCTCCCTGAAGTACTGGAAAAATTCGCCCGAGTCATCAATTGAAATTCCTGCACGGATAAACAGGCCTAGTCCGGCAGCGAGCAAAACCTGTTGTGATAGAAGACTCAAGCATCCATTCCAAAAAATGGCTCACCAGGAAAAATGGGACAAGGAACAATAGAAATGAAGGAGCAAATACTCGTTAACAAGACAACAATCCATAGAAGAGTAGACTTCTAGAAACGGAAAAGTTCCACAAAAAGGAAACAAGATACATATTGACACCACTGCAATTGAAGGTACTAAACTATGACTCTTCAAGTGGCCCGACGGGCATAAGTTCAATGGCAATGGGAACGAAGTCAAAGAATTAGGGACGAAAACTTACAACTGCAGTCAACTTTGAGTCCATAACATTCAAAGGCCATCTCTTGAGCTCACTTTCTTCAACAGAAGGTGGAGGAGGGTTCCAGAGAACGAAATACGGCATAAGGGCATAAGCACCACCGAAGCAAGAAAGTACAAGGAAAGGCCACACTGGAATCTTGCTCTTTGAGCTGCCAAATTGCCACAATGGGACTCACAATCTCTCTGAAAATCAGAAACCAAAAGCCTTACAGAAGGGAGAGCTTGGGATTTTACCTTCTTCCAGTTGGAAGGAGAAGCATGCTATAAGCTAAAGGCCACAAACCCATGATGTACCATAAGGAAACAAGAAACTCATTCATCCTAAACCCATCATCTCCCTTCAAATTGCACAGCTTCAGCAAGAAATACATATCTCTCGACTGCAGAAGAAAGGGTGAACCTGTCTCGTTATCAGTCATAATAGAGCAAATACTGCCCCAAAATGGCAAAACCCATTGAATTGAGTATAGAAGGAACATTAAAATGCCTCAAATACTTACCGGAGTCTGGTTAGGAGTGAGATTGAAGACATAGTACAAAATTCCGCCCCAGAACACAAACAGCAAAATTGAGCTAGTCCAATCCCTACTCTCTCTCGCGCCGACATCCTTACTTTCCTTCAAGCCCTCCTGCTCTTTCTCTGGATCATCCGGCGATTTCAGAACGCTGCGGCATATTTGGATGGAACCCTTCCTCTGAATTGGGAAATTCGCGTTGTGTTCGAGTAAAAATGGCTGGTTGAAACCTGCTTTAGGAAGTAAACGCGGCAACTTTGGATGATGTAGAAATTGGGTTTGGCGCGAAGATGAACTCCTAGGTCTCAGATAAAAGGACTGAGAGGAGAAGTTGCAGGAGATTAGATGGAGATTCGCCAGCATTTTCGAAGCGGAGACCCTTGGTCAGATTTTTGTAGCGGGAGCAGTTGAAAGCTTTAAAATGGCGAAGCAAAAAGCTACTGAATACTATAACGCCACGTTTGGCAGTGGCTATGGCCTATGGCATAGGACTGATAGAAGAGTCTCGTCTTTCATGAAAACACAAAAACAACCCTTTGCCGCTTAGCGCAAGTCTTCCCAACGACGGCGTTTTTGAGGACAGATGTGCTTTGACGGAGGAAGATATCCAGCAAGTTCTCTGCTAAGGGATAAGATGATCAGTACACGTTCAGTCCGTTCTCCGTTTCTCTTTCCCGCCTCCAGAAAGAAAAAACCTCTCCAGACTCCAGCAATGGCCGAAGCTGCGCGGGTCTTCCACACGACTACATTCGTCCCTTCATTCAATTCACTGCACAAAACCCAGAAACCCAAGCCCTCGTTTGTCTCCCGAAGCACCGTACGCCGGAAGTTCCAGTCTTTACGCTGTTCGTCGTCGCTGGAAAGCGCGACCACAGCGATGACGACGAATAATCAGGAGGTACGATGGGGATGCGACATCGATTCTCCGGAAAACGCTCTAGCTCTGCAGAAATGGCTTTCAGATTGCGGGTTGCCCCCTCAGAAGATGGGAATTGAGAAAGTGGAAGTTGGGGAGAGGGGGTTGGTAGCTTTGAAGAACATTAGAAAAGGGGAGAAGTTGCTCTTCGTGCCTCCTTCTCTCTTCATCACCGCCGATTCAGTGAGTCAGTTTCTCCTTTGCTTTGTTTTTTTTTTTTTTTTTTTCTCTCTTTTCTTTTGGTTTCTTGGGCTGATTTCAATTGGAAGCAGAATATCATGTCAAGTTTTTCCTTCCCATGAACTAGCAATGGAGCTGCCAAGAGGCAGGTGAGATTATGAAGAAATACTCAGTGCCAGATTGGCCATTGATAGCAACTTATCTGATTAGCGAGGCAAGCCTTGAGAAATCATCTAAATGGAGCAATTACATTGCTGCTTTACCTCGCCAGCCTTATTCTCTCTTGTACTGGTAAGTACGTCCTTTTGGGTTTGAAGAGATTTTATTTCTTAACAAAGAAAAGAAGGTTCATTATCTCAGTTTCTTCTTCTGCCTACAGCATCTATGTGTCGTTTTCAGGACTCGTGCAGAACTAGATAGGTATCTTGAAGCATCACAGATCAGAGAGCGGGCGATTGAGAGGATTAACAATGTCATTGGAACGTAAGCTTTTTTTGCCTTTTGTTAGCCTTGTTTATGGTTCTGTTTTAAGTTCTTCTACCATGTTATTTTTAACTGCAACAGATTTTGTTCCTTTTGCAGGTATGATGATTTGAGGCTTAGGATATTCTCCAAGCATCCTCAGCTCTTTCCTGAAGAGGTAATTTCTTACATTTCAGGTCTGCATATGGAATGTGTACTGGTCTAGGTTTATGTAAATGGGAATGGTTTATAGAGATGTTCAAGTTCCTTTCTCTCTGGAGGTGTCAAATGCTGGGTTTGGATAGGGTTCAAGTTGGTTTAATCAGGTTACAAGTCAATGGGGTTGTTGGTCAATTGGGTAATGTGTTGATTGCTCATATGCATGATTTGCAGGTATTCAACATTGAGTCCTTCAAATGGTCATTTGGCATACTCTTCTCTCGCTTGGTTCGTTTGCCGTCAATGGATGGAAGAGTAGCCCTGGTTCCCTGGGCTGACATGTTGAATCATAGTTGTGAGGTATAAGTTTGCTTACTTTGCTTACAAGTTTGTTTAAATTCAATGGCCAACTTTGCATGACCTTTTGTTATATAGGTAGAGACATTTCTGGATTATGATAGATCATCACAAGGAGTGGTATTTACAACTGATAGAACATATCAGCCAGGTGAGCAGGTAATGCAGATTTCTGTATCAAAACTTTCCCTTCAAAAATTTGGTTAAAGATCCCTACTTTAGCATTCATTTGGGAACATTAATTGCAGGTGTTCATATCGTATGGGAAGAAATCTAATGGAGAGCTGTTGCTCTCTTATGGATTCGTTCCAAGGGAAGGTACTAATCCCAGTGACTCGGTGGAATTGCCTTTCTCACTAAAAAAGTCTGACAAATGCTACAAGGAGAAGCTAGAAGCTTTGAGGAAGCATGGTTTGTCTGGGTGAGTACTGAATCACATATTTTCATTCCCCTTTCTCAAATGAGCAGGTTACGTCGGGTTCATTTGGGTTTAGTATGGTCATGGACAATTGGATTTTGGGTTAATAGAGTTACAAGTCATTCTGTTTGTGGGTTAATCAGATCGTGGGTTGATTGGTCCACTGGTTACCGCATCGCCTTTTTTTATCAACTGGGGTTGTCGAGCGAGTTGGGTTAGAGCAGGTTGATCTGCTTGGAAAATATTTTGAATATTCTAGATATGAGAAGTATTAGATAGATGGCAAGTTGGGTTAACTTCAGGTTTGGTTTAATGATTGTGAGTCAATCTGGTCACAGTTCAATCTGCGTCAATTGGATTGAGAGTCAATTGGTTTACAGGTCAAGCAGGTTACAGGCGATTACATTTTGGCCAACTCGATTGAGAGTGTATTGGACAGTTTATCTTGTCGGACCAGATTTTAACAGTTAACATCCCTTTTGGTTTAACTTTTACTCAGCCGTGATCATTTAAGAAGAATGTAGGCTTCTAACACTTGCTTGTCAACAAACAGGTCACATTGCTTTCCCATCCGTGTCACTGGCTGGCCACAGGAGTTGATTGCATATGCTTACTTAGCAGTCAGCCCTCCGAGCATGATCGGACAGTTTGAAGAGGTTTTGACCATTTTGGTCTTTCTTCACTTCTGCAAGCTGATTCCTCTACTAGTTTATCCTGACCAGTTAGCATTTGTCAGATTGCAGCTGCTGCATCAAACAAGACAGCCATGAAGAAAGATAAACCATATCCCGAAATTGAAGAACAGGCACTGCAGTTCATATTGGATAGCTGTGAGTCAAGCATTTCAAAATACACCAAATTCTTACAGGTAAGAAAGATTTTGATGGCAACAACTTTCTCTACTACATTTAACTGAACTTCTTGCTCTCAAAACCTATGTCCATTTTGGGTCAGGCTAGTGGATCAATGGATTTGGATGTGACATCTCCAAAGCAAATTAACAGAAGGTTGTTCTTGAAGCAGCTCGCTGTAGACTTGTGCAACAGTGAACGAAGGATATTGTACCGAGCTCAAGCTGTGAGTCTCCTGAATATTGCTTATGTTTTTTTTTTTTTTTTCCATTAATTATTCTCTTGACTCCGTTCTGATTGATGGCGTGTAATTACGAATTGGGATGAGAACAGGTATTGAGAAGAAGGTTGAGAGACATGAGGAGTGGGGAACTGAAAGCTCTGAATCTCTTTGATGGCCTCAGAAACCTCTTCAAATGAAGTGGTGTTTGCCCCATTCCCCTACTTGTGCAGCAAATTATAGGACAAATGATTTCTTCAGCCAAAAGGGTTTCAGCTTAAAGGAAGAAATCAGACGCGAAGGGCTGCTAAATTCTGGCTCCGGCAGCTGTTCCTTAGTTCCCTCTGTTTCAGGAGTTTGTAATACAACCAACCCTTTCCTGTGTAAATTTGAATTTTCCTACATGTGGGGAAGCAAGATTGATCACCAAGTCAAAATTCAAAACTAAATAATAGAATTTCCTTTCGTGTGCGCGATGTACTAAAATGATCACGACGAATGGCCTGTTCTCACTTCTCAGTGGCAGAGGGAATTTTATTATGCTCTGACTTTTTCGCAAAATCCGCGGGTTGACTCGGATCCGGTCGAGCTAGTAGGTTAAGAGTTATTGGATCAACCGTTTTAGCTCGGTTTGGCCCGGAAATATGGAAAGAGTCATTATATTGTACTTATCCTCATAAATTATATCAAATCTTATCTAACATATGAGTTATAACATATAATATTACACCAAAATAACATATCGTACTTAGATCCAACATATAGTGAAAATTCACACACATTTATATAACATCAATATTCAAATGTTCAACTTAGAATTCCAAAGACTGAGTTAGGCGAAAAGAAAAATTGAAAAATAGGCGCATTTCACAAACCAAAGAAAAAAATGACACAATTTGACCTCCAACCCAGTACCTTGTAGTGGTCGACCCGGCAAATGCGTGCAACCCGTTTTTCTCACCGGGTCAGGGTCAAGTTAGGTCGACCCGCGGGTTGACAACCTTTCGTGGTCCCTTTTTTATTATTTTGACTAGTGCTCTTTTTTTCCCCCTCATTTTACCTCGTTTATACCATGCTTTAAATTACAATAGAAGTGCTCCCACATATCACCGTGGTATAGGGAGGTAGGGAGGTAACTGATTGTAGGAACGGTCTAGTTAAATTGGACTAGTTTGATAACCATTTCAATCTGTCGAACCAAAGGAGGAGTTTCAAGAGGAGTCACCTATAAAAAATGTTGATGACTAGACCAACATGGATTCCAGCTTACATAAAGAGCAAGATGCCCTCACCATCCAAGAGATCGTGGAAGAGTTCATCAAAGAAGAAATACCATCTATCCCAATGGATGAAACTTCAAACCACACCCATCAAGAGTTCAACTCGAGTTGGCAGAAGAAAACTGATGAAGACCCACCACTTCGATCTTGGAGAAGAAGGAACATTTACATCACCCTCTACAACAATGAGAGAAGAGCAAGGGGTAGTAGTCCTACCTCAGCTTACCAGTTTGCAGGCGGGAGCGAGAGAGCGAAAGCATTGATTCTTTGAGAAATTATTTTTCAGAGCGTGACAAAAGCGTCAATAATAATATTATTTATAATGAAATATTTTACAAAGTTTTAAAAACTTATTATAACAAGTAATTAAGTGTTTGATAATATTGCAAGAAATAAAGTTGATGTCTTCTCTAGTGCGATTTGTTGTTATTAAAAGACTTATTATCACTTTTTCTTTTGGATATGCTTAAGAACAAATATATTAAATAGAAACCAATGAAAAGTAAATATTGAAAGAAAGAAAACCACACTTTGTTTAATGCCTGGTTTGATTAATGGATAACGGTTAGAGAGCCCGTAGCACTCTCTTTTGCACCCAAAAAAAAACCACACTTTGTGTTTGGGTGTAGT